CGCTGCCCACTCCCTCCTCCCTGCCCCGTCCTCCACTTTGCGTCACTTCGCAGTTCCCTTTCTTCCCTGAGTCGGAGGCGGCGGAAGCCGTCCCGGGGCTTCCTCTCGGTGTCCAATGGGCGGGGGTCCCGGCGCGCCCCCCTTTCTCCGCCCCGCCCTGCAGTTCCTCCCCGGCTCAGCCAGGGAAACAGACCCCCCAGCTAGCACGGAGTCACGGGATACGCGTGACAAATATCTAAGATGGTTATTGCTTGGGTTTTTGAAACGGAAAATGAACTGGAGGGGCCAGATCAACCCAGACCTAGGGTCAAGATCGAGTTCTTAAAGGACCACGTGAAAACGTAATGACAAAGTTCATTATCCCCGAATCATAATCAGTTTTTCTTGGGGAATTTACTCATATCGCTGCCACATTGTTCTAACAATTTAAGCTGTGTGTGTGTGTGTGTGTGTGTGTGTGAAATTTGTGCTAGTTTTGTAAATGGCTGCTTGACTGATGAGGCTGAGGTTTGGAGCTTAAGTGTTTTGGCTTCAAAGAAACCCTTAATTTTTCAAATGAGGAAAACTCAAGTAGATTTCTCAAGGTCATTAAAGTGAGAGATCTCAAACTTAAACCCAGGTCAGAGTCCTCAGAGGCCCACCAGGAAACCCCGTCATGGCTTATTCATGTGTGCAGAACGGCAGGTACATTGCTGTGTTCCCATCTGTCAGGGGCCCCAACAGGCTCCCACCTGGCCTCCAAGGCCCTGCCTTCTAGGACTCCCCAGGCCTCTCCAGCTCCCACTTACTGCTCGCCAGGTACCTGACGGTCCTGTTTCCTGACCTGTCTGGGTTAGCTCGTCTTCAGACTGCTCACGTGGCTTAGCCATGTGCCCCAGGGAGGCATTCCTGACCCCTATCTACAGCAGGACCCTCCAGCCTGACTTTGTACCTGACAGGCCCTGTTACTTCCTGCAGAGCCTGGGCACAGTGTGAAATCCTGTTTATTTACTTACGATCTGTTCCCCTTAGCCTCCCCTCTGCCACTAAGATGTGAGCTCCTGGACACAGCAGCCTTTTCTGTGTTTTTTTGTTCAGAGCTGTATCTCCAGGGCACAGAATAGGTAGGTATTCAATAAATCCTTGATAGATCAATGAGCGGTACGGTACCTTAGCTGTGTTCACATGGACTAACCAGCTGTCCTCCATGAGCTCGTCAGAGGGGCTCTGATGGACGAACCAAACTGTCCTTCATGTCTGATCCTGCCAACATTATATATGTAGTCACACCTGTAAGTGAGAGAATTGGGGGAAATGGTTCCTCTCTCTGTATTTTGTGTTTGTGTGCTTTATTTCTGGCCATTTTTTAATAAGGAGAGTGAGAAACTTGCCCCCCAAACCACCTTTTCACCTGCCTTTTTTACAGCTGTTCCCAGCCTGTTGTCACTGCCTTGCCCTCACCCTGACCCCAAGTGGGCAGATACCTGGCAGGGAGTGCCTCCTTCCTCCAGGGCAGTCTCAGAGGGCGTGGGCTTTCAGCGGGTTAGGGTGGAGGAAGGGAAGGAGTTGTGGCTCAGTGTCACTAACTCACTAGGCTGGGTCCCTGTCACTGGTTCTATCTTAAGCAGAAGAGAAGGAAGCCCCTTTTCGTTTCCCCTTCCTCCTGGGGTTCTGTTCAGCAGCTAGAGCTGTCCCATCTTTCTCAGGAATCCTTGCACAGGGACGCATTCTCTTCCTGCTGAGGCCAAGAGATCCCGAGTCAGTTGCTGGGAAGTGGAAATCTAGTCCTAACCGCCCCAAACAGGCAGTGTGAGCCTGGCGGGTTCTGGAAACTGCCCGGGTCTGTTACATCATCTGCCTTTGCCTAGGTTGTATGCGCATATTTTAGAGAGATAGACAACTATCAACCCAAACAAGAACCCTGCGGCTTCCCCTCGGGTCACAGAGAGGCTGCCCGGAGCGATAAAGCCAGTGCTTCCTAATTCGAGTCCAGTAGGACAGATTGGATTTCTAGGCCTGTGGTCCAGGCCAGAACCCTCCAGTTCACTCTGGTTGGGCCGTTTGGGGTCAGGCCCACCCCTGGACCAGGGATTGACCAGGAAAATGGAAAGTGTTGACCAGGTTAAACCAACCAGAGCATATCCTTAGACCAGGCGTGGGGTCAGCTCCTGGTAAGTGTGTGGCACTGAAATCTACTTGAAGATGGGGTGGGGATGGATGCTGAGGGGGTAGTCAACAGTGCCCTGTAAGTATTTGACACAGTTCAGGTGTGGCTCCTGCCATTAGGGAGTGGCCTAGGGAGTGACTCATGGGATGGGAGGTGGGTTATAAAACAGTATGGAGTTTCCTCAAACATTTAGATATGGAACTGCCATTTGACCCAGTGATCCCACTTCTAGGAATATATCCCAAGAAACGCAAAGCATCAATCAGGAAAAATGTATGCACCCCTATATTCCTAGCAGCACAATCTACAATATCTAAGATCTGGAAATAGCCCAAGTGCCCATCAGTAGATGAGTGGATAAAAAAAGCTGTGGAACATTTATGCCATGGAATACTATGCAGCTGTAAAAAAAAAGAAGAAGAAGAAGAAGAATCTCTTACCCTTTGAGACAGCATGGAGGGACCTGGAGATTATCATGCTAAGTGAAATAGGTGAATCAGAGAAAGACAAGTATCACATGATCTCACTCATATAGAATCTAATGAGCAAAATAAACTGATGAACAAAACAGATCCAGAGACATGGAAAAGTAGAAACCATGGGCAAAGAAATAAAGAGAATTATATGATTAGGAATTTGAAATAAATCAGTGAAAAAAAAACAACACACAGAAAATGAAATGTGGGAGGGAGGAGAGAAGCAATTATATTTAATGAATTTGTAACAAAAAGTGTGTGTGAGGCTGTGGAGAAAAGGGAACTCTGGTGCTATGTTGGTAGGAATGTAAACTGATGCAGCCACTATTGAAAACAGTATGGAGGTTCCTCGGAAACTTGAAAATAGAACTGCCATATGGTCCAGCAATTCCACTTCTGGGTATTTATCTGAAGAAAACTAAATTGCTGTCTCAAAAAGATAATATGCACCCCATGTTCATTGCAGCATTATTTATACAGCAAAGACATGGAAACAACCTAAGTGTCCAAGTACAAAGGGATAAAGAGGGTGTGGTACAACCCTGGTCAGGTAGCTCAGTTGGTTGGAGCATTGTCCCTATGTGCCAAGGTTGTGGGTTTGATCCCAGGTCCTGGCACATAGAGGAATCAGCCAATGAATGCATAAATAAGTGGAACAATAAATCCATGTTTCACTCTTCCTTTCTCTAAAATCAATTTTTAAAAAAAGCCAGGCTGGTGTTGCTCAGTGGTTGGGTGTTGACCCACAAACCAGGAGGTTAAGGGTCAATTCTCAGGGCACATGACCAAGTTCCGAGCTCCATCCCCAGTAGGGGGTGTGCAGGAAGCAGCCAATCAATGATTCTCTCTCATCATTGATGTTTCTCTCTCTCTCTTGCTCTCCATTCCTCTCTAAAATCAATAAACTTATTTTTGAAAAAAGAAAAGACGTGGTACATATATACAATGGAATATTATTCAGCCATAAAAAGAAGGGAATTCTGTCATTTGCAACAACATGAATTAATCTTGAGAGCATTATGCTAAGTGAAATAAGTCAGAGAAAGACAAATACTATATGATCTGCTTATATGTGGAATCTAGAAAAATGAAGAAACACAAACGCATAGAAACAGACAACAGATTAGTGGTACTAGAGGTGGAGATGGGGGTGGGCGGGGTGGAGATAGTGGGTGAAAGGTAGTCAAAAAGTACAAATGGCCAAACTTCCAGTTATAAGAAAAACGAGTCCTGAGACAATGTACACCATGGGGATGATAGTCTACAATACTGTATTGTATATTTGGAGTTTGCTAAGAGAATAGATCTTAAAAGTTCTCATCACAAGAAAGCAGTGGGTGGTGAGCAGAGCCTCTCAGAAATCCGTCAGCATCCCTCATTTCCAGTCTCCGCTGTGGCCTCCTTCCTCTCCTCCCGCGTGCGGAAGGGGGATCTTAGCGTGTGATGGGGGCGGGTGTCTTGGGAGAAGACGGGTGCTCCTGGGCCTTCGTGGGGCGGGGACCCGGGTCCTGCTGGAGCGGGGGACTCATCTTGGCCACCACGATTTCGTCCACAGTGGCCAGCTGCAGCACGATGTCCACCACGGCCCGCAGCGCTTGGGCCTTGGCCGCCAGGGTGTCCCACACAGCTTCCTGGGCCACGTTGATGATCCCCTCGACGCCCACTCCGATCAGGAAGTGCCCTTGCTGGTGCGCGGCCGTCATGTCTGCCATCACCTGGGAGACGGCGAGGCCCGCGTTCTCCGCCAGGGTCGCGGGGAGAGACCGCAGGGCCTGGGCAAACGCCAGGA